CTCAATTGCTTGTGGTACATGTTTTAATAGCAATTTAAAAAACAATGAAATTAATGTCAAATAGATTTTAAGAAGCAATTGTTAAAACTTGTTCTCTATCAGAAACCTTTTTTACATGTACATTATCCCATCCCCCCTGGCCCCTATTTATAAGTTACATGTACATGTATATACAGCCATGATAATAAAATTATCATGGAACATTAGTATAACTGTTCCTGATAATTAGTTTGAGATCAGGCTCTGTACATTAGTTTCCTGTTTCCCTTTACTCTAATATCTACAAATTGTGTCTTCGTTTTGTTGCTAGAAAGCTAAAAAAACCACTATTTGTTTGCTCTGGCCACACCCACTTTACATAATGGGCATACCATATAGCAGTTTTTTGAGGATAATAATTTTTGCAAATGACCTGTATCTGGAAGTTGGCAGAATTAATTTTTTGCGAATTTCCACTATTTTGCCATCTTGTACCATATTAAATTGATTTTCAAGGAATTTAATTTTGCAAATCTTGAAAAATCCACAAAATTTTTTATCCTTGAAAAAACCTGCTATACAGTAGATGGATGGTTGCTAAAGTGTCTTAATCCTATTATTTCTCTAATACAATGTGTATAGAGGAAATGGAATTGTTCACATGCAATTATAGATAATCTTAGGAATGACCTGGGGTTGAAGCCCTAGGTAGTTTGAACTTTTAACATAGCCACTTTAAATACTATAGCTCAAGTCAAAGCATTGATTTGAAATGACTAAAACTTTGGCATCAATATGTACATGTACATGTATCAAAGAGTGGAATAAAAATTTTGAAGTGTTTTAAACCTAATTTTTTGGCCATTCTTTTCTCCAAATAACTACTATTATTAGATGTCAATAACATTTAAGAAGTCACCAGAATTGGTATAACTTTCTACATGATATAAGTTCATCAATATGTATTGGAAATTTTATTTCATTACATGTACACTGTAGTATATACAGTAGCTAGAAAATTTGGTGGAGCAAAATTTTGGTAAATTTGGCAAATTGATATTCATTTGCCAAAATTTTATGATAGGGCTTTGTAGCAGCATGCACATACATGTAGTTGAAATTTCGGCAAATGTTAAAAATTTTGCCAAAATTTTAACCTCTAAGCCTCTTTTAGAGTCAATTGACTCAATTCACCATAAATTTTGACACTCCAAATTTTTTAGCTATAACATACATGTACATGTAGTAATAAATAATTGTTTATTATTTTGTAGTCTGCTCTTATTTGATGAGGGAAGACATTTGAAAATCTGTGATTTTGCAACTGCTAAACTTCTTGATGATGCAGCATTTACTGATACAATGGTTGGAACTCCTTATTACTTGGCACCCGAAGTAATAGAAGGTACAATGCTTCCTGCATTAATGAAATACCTTTTTTCATTTTTCTTGTTATGATTTTATTATATGTATGTATACATGTATATTAACTAATGGTATGTACATCTGTAGAAAGTATCAAATATCTTTAGTAGTAGTAATTGTACTTTTTAATTTTGTGGACATCATGTCTGCGTAGGTAAACATTCATTTGAATGCGATGTGTACAGGTAAGTAGTTATTAATCATGTGATTATCATGTGATGCAGTTTTGCTGTTACTCTGTGGGAGATGATCACACGACACAAACCAACTCTTGATCTCAATCAGGAGGGACAACCTCATCCTTATAATGTCTTCCGTGCAATAGGAAAAGGTACTTAAGTTAATATTAGCATGCACTCATCATTCCCTCTCTTTCTCCCTCTCTCTCTCTCTCCTACTATTAGGAGCAAGGATGCCCACTATTATAGGTATACCAAAGTTTCTATGGGAGCTAGTGACAAAGTATATAAATATAGTATGTTTACATTGATACATGATGTGTTCATTAGGTGCTGGGCACAACAACCTGTTGATAGACTGTCCTTTGCTGAGATTGTTAGGAAATTAAAGAGAGTACCTTACAAATTTAAAAATGAGCCATTATTAACTCGTTAGTTTTACTTACATGTACATGTATTTGTATTTGGCACAAGCCTGAATTACCGTACAGTTGGTAAATTTTGTGGGGTATTAATTTTCGTTAATTTTGTGGTTTATTTTTATCCACAAAACTTGAACCCCTACCTACCCACACAT